TTCACAGTGGTATCCAAACCATGCCCCTTTGCAAAATAGGAAGGTCGATCTGATAGGGCCCATTCCAAAGGAAAAATGAAGATCCAGCTATGCCATTATCGCTATTAATTATTTCACCAAGTGGGTTGAGGCCGAACCCCTGGAAGGCTATGATGGGTCGGAATTCCCCACTCAATAGTCACGGACAATGGAAGAATATCATATGCCGGTTCGGAACTCCCCACTCAATAGTTACGGACAATAGATAATAGTTTGACAACAAAAAGCTCCGAGATCTATGTGATTGGGCATCAAAAAGCACTTCTCCTCCTCTCATCACCCTCAGGCAAATGGTCAAGTTGAAGCAGTCAACAAGACCATAAAGCACCTTCTGAAGAAGAAACTGGATGAATCGAAGCCGAACGGCGATCGAGAAGACCCCTTTCTCCATAGCTTATGGAGTAGGGGCCATGAGCCCGGTCGAGGTAGGCCTCCCATCGCCTAGATGCCTACAGTTCAACGAAATCTCAAACAAGGAAATAAGGCGTTGTGAGCTCGACTTCCTTGACGAGAAAAGGGAGGCCTCACGTAAATCCTTTCGGATAGACGATCTAGTACTTAGAAGGGTGTTCCTGTCATCAAAAGAGCCAGGAGTAGGCACATTGGGCCCGAATTGGGAGTGCCACTACCGCATCGCTGATGAGATCAGGCCTGGAACTTTTTGAATTGAGAACCTCAATGGAAAGCTGCAACCCCACCCGTGGAATGTAGAATACCTTCGAATTATTATCAGTAAGCTCCCATTCTGTATGTGTCGTTCGATCAATAAAAACTCCTTTCATGAGTTATTTATATATGACGAACCCATATCTTCATTAATGGTTAAAACATGACGAGCCCTTATTAATTATGACAAGTTCATAAGTTATTTATATATAGCGAACCCATATCTTCATCAACAGATAAAACATGGCGATCCCATATTAATTATGACAAGTTCATAAGTTATTTATATATTGCGAACCCATATCTTCATCAACGGTTAAAAAATGGCAAGCCCATATTAATTATGACAAGTTCATAAGTTATTTATATATGACAAACCCATATCTTCATCAATGGGTAAAACATGGCGAGCCCATATTAATTATGACAAGTTCATAAGCTATTTATATATGGCGAACCCATATCTTCATCAATGGGTAAAACAGGCGAGCCCATATTAATTATGACAAGTTCATAAGTTATTTATATATGGCGAACCCATATCTTTATCAATAGTTAAACAATGGCGAGCCCATATTAATTATGAAAAGTTCATAAGTTATTTATATATGGCGAACCCATATCTTCATCAACGGTTAAAACAAGGCGAGCCCATGTCTCAAAGCTAGTTAAGTTTTAACTGAACCCATTAACTATTCTCATAAAGGTTGATAATGAAGAGACGACTAAAATGGAAGAATGATTCAATTACACTTTCAATACTTAATGAAAATTCAGATACAAAGGAAAGAAAAGTAAGGCATCTACAAATCCTACCCTACGAAACGGTTTCTCCTAGTTGACCTTCACCTTCAGGAGGGTCAATCTCTTTAACTGAATCCTCAGCCTCGATGGCTGGACTAGATGGCTTAACACTGAGAAACTCTCCACTCACCGCATTTAGATCCAATTGCGGATGGAGCTCGGAGATCCTGTCAAAAACCTCCTTGTAAGCCACCCTCCTGAAATGGATCTCGAGCCCCTCATACTCGGCGGTTTCGTGAAAATGGGCAACATAGTTATCCTCCAGCCCATTTGAGCTTCTCACCAAAGTCAGAGACTTCAGTATTGAGCTCATCAACTCCAGCCCTCAGCTCCTCATTTTCCTTATTTGCAACTTCCAAGGCTGAAGAGGCAATCTTTTGGAGCTCGTCAAAGTTTTCAACCCGCTTTATCAGGGTGGCCACCTTGGCCTTGCATAGGTGGGTTTCTTTTTTCAGTTCCTCATTTTCCTTAGAGAGGGCTCTGCCTTACTCTTCACCTCGGCACATCTTAGCCTAAAGGTTTCAACAGCCTTTTTTTGTGGCTGAGGCTACAACATTGGCTTTGAGTGCCCCAAACTCAGCATTCTGAGCCCGATTTTCATAATTGTTAATGACCCCTTGCATGTGCCTCACCTCCATTTGGGGGATGATAAAGAAAGAGCAGGCCTGCATGGCGAGTCCAGCCTCCACCAAATCAACTATTTCACAGGACTCAATGTTGGAAGTATACGCTTCAGTCTAATACTTATGACTGAGCCTCACTGCCCCCTCTACCTCTGCTGGAAGCATCTCCATAACTGTTGGAGTTATCTCATCCGACCGACCCATTAAAAAGCTCTGAGCCTTTCCCTCATATGAGGCACTTCTCACCTCCCCTCCTTTCCTTTTTTTCACGAAGCTAGCCCCCTCTTCAGCCGACTCTTCTTCCTGAACACCCTTCATAGAGGAAATCGGCTCCGCTAAAATGGGCTTGGCAAGGGACTCCCCAATAGTGGTTTGGCATCCGCGAGTGGGGTCAGGGCCAGAGTTCTTTGTTATCACCAGCTTCCTCTTCGAGGGTCGCTCAGACGACACCTCCGCCTCCTTGGCCTTCCCTTTCTTCTCTTATTTCTCAATAGGAGGAGGCGACTTGGTCTTTGAAAGGTGAGCCAATTCGTCCTACTAATGTTTTAGGTGGAAGAGTCGGCACCCATAGGTTTCTTCCTTTGAGCCTCCCCAAGGTCCTCAAAGCACTACAGCAAAAAAGCTCGACTCACTATACTCATTATATTGGGTCGGTATGACCATATCTGGGACCACATCCCCTTCCACCGTTTGCCAGCGACCTCTGACCCAGAACCAGGAGGACTTCCAATTCTTGATGGAGGTATGGGTCCCAAGGATGAAAGGCTAGTGTGGACCCCAATGATTTATGCAGTACCACCCTTTATAATCACTCTCCCCACTCTACGCCCGAGGTTGGAAGAGGGTTTGGAAGACTTGTGAGGGCATATCGCCTCCAAGGGTTACCTCCTTCCAAAGAAGGAAGGCTCCTACCAACTGACTCCATGTGTTTGGCACTAATTAGGTGGGGGCCAAATTGTATTCTCTAAGGATAACCCTAAAGAAAGGGTGCAATGGCAATCTCATCCCCCACTCAGGATCGCCTCACTCACCACCACGCAGCCCTACTTGGGGAAGTAGGCCCTTTCCTCTTGGGTCGGTACTAGCAACTCAACATCGTGGGGAATCCTAAACCTTTCCCTAAAGCCCTCAAGCTCGTTCTCCTTAATATCTGTCGGCCACAAGGAGGCCCCTACCTTACGTTATAATCTACCTCCACAAACTGCTCAACAGGTGCCACGGCGCTCAGTGCAAATCAAAGCCATGACTACCCCAGAAGAATCCCCATCTACACACTTATCTGATTTGAAAGCCATCGAAAATAAGGGAAGAACTCGGTACAGCAAAAGGAAGATAATATACATACGCTAAACTTGGCAAGAATTGAATACTGGAGAGCCTCGAAACCAAAGAGCAGTTAATCGCCGGCATGACGGGAAATTGTTGGGCTATGACAGAAGAATTCTTGCACTTGGGATTTCAAACTCGCGAGAAAGTGGAAAAAGGGCAAAAAGGGTGATTTCCCTACCTTTTATAGGCTTGTCCAATGAACCCCCGCCCTTGGATGTTGCTCCGATTTAATCTGAGCCATCCATCTATCACCTCATCATTTGTGTAGAAACTAAAAGGCGCGCATTCGAATTCAAATCGAGGGCCCGATCAACTCGTGCAGCTCACGCGCCCAAGATTCACATACTCCTGGTAAAGGTTAAATGCCATCATCATTGCGCATTAAATGTGCATGTCGCTCGAGCCTTGGAAATGACTAAGAATAACCAGCTGTCGCTCCTTGGGAACCAACATTCGCAAGTCTACACGAAGGCTTTGCCTCCTTATGGTTCGTCCACACAAAGGCTCTGCCTTGGCACAGCTTGCCCCCAGTATAGATTGCATATTCCCCCCTACAGGGTCTCGGAGAACCGCCTTTATTGATGCAAACCCCATTGCCTTATAAAATTCAGGTAGAAAACAGGGAGGGCCTGTTCCAACTCCGACAAGTAGACAGGTCTCGATTCCATCGTTTCCCAGGCTTCAAAGTCCACGCAAGATATAAATAATCATACCTAGAATTGGGGACTGATGTTACTTATATAAATAATCGTAAAGTTAAGTTCCACGTGACAAGCTGGCAGGCCCACAGGTGGGATAGCGGGCAGGCGACTCTGTAGATGCCAAGGCGATCTAGACCTAGATGTTCCTTGTCCAAGCCCTGTCGACGAAGGCATCAGGTCACCTCTGATGAGGTAGTAAGTCAACCGAGCAAATTAAATGAAATGATTGACAAGATAACACCCTGACAGCGCCGTCTCTACACACCTTCGCTAGTTAGATCGTGTGTCAGGGAAAAGACAAGGGGATCTAAGCATTAATGGCTTGATTGATTGACTCTAACAGGGACCATTGGATCCTTTGTGATCAGACGGACCCCATCCACCCATGTGGGGATATAAAAAGCCTTAACTCTAGATGTAAAGGGGAGAGAAATATTAGACATTGAGAGAGAAAACATGGATTTTCCTTGCCATGTGCAACGATCGACCCCTTTTTATTTGTAAAGACTGTCATAACATCACGATACAGAACATAATGGATCATTCCCTACAATGATTCATAGTTACAATTCATATTTGAGTTCCAGTCTATTGTAATTTGGTATATGAAGAAGTGATTCTCTAATTTTCTGTTGGCCACGTCATATGACCATTTTTTGGGGTCAATAGAAAGCGATAAGAAAACTTATAGTGGGGGAAGAAATGGAGAATGTAGAATGGAAATTTGAACAATTTACAGTGGATGATTTCACATTTTCACACTGCTATGGTCTATTTAAGCATCTCAAAAAAGTAGGAAAAAAAATACTGCTTCAAATTCTGTATCATAGACATATTTTCAAACGTGAATCAGGTCCGGTGATTTGGATGGTGTTTTGCCCGGTGAGTTTTTCTCCTTTGTTTTCTACAAGTGAACAAAACATTATTAGTTCACACCACTATAATCATTTGACTTGCATAACTAATGCCTGCCATATTTTTTTTTTAACTATATAAAAGTTTTTGGAGAAAGTTACTTTAATTTTTGTTTTGATAGTAATTTTTAAAAACAATTCCTATTCTGGAATCGCTTTTAGAGAAAGTCACATTAGACCAACTTCCTCTAAAAGCTCTTCTAACTATCAAAAACATTTTCATAAAATTAGTCAAACAAATCCAAAGGGAATTTTTGAGTCTCAAAAGATCCTTTTGACTTTTCAAAAGTTATACCAAATGAGCCCGAAAACTATACCAACCATTTCAGCCTCTGTGTTTCTCCAAACCTTGTCCAATTCCTCGAAAACCAAATCTATTGTTGGACGACCTCTACTCGAACTTGCTACACAAAGTACTGCAATTTTCAATATGTATTCAAAATGTAGGGTATTCACACTCCCTTTCAGCCTAGGGTCCTGAAAATCTGTCAATGGACGTCTCCCCATGTTCACATCCTTTGCCTGCATGACTTTCATGAATCAATACATTTGATGTTCTTGAAAGACTCCGTTTCTTTCATGTAGTACACTTGCGCCATATGAAGCAAAAAATAATTAATCTACTTGTACAATGATTCAATGAATTTGTACAAGTAGATTGACTGTGTAAGGTGTCAAGATCCTTGCCATTGATTTCAAAAACAACTTTTCAATCAATTGACAGGAAGTTGCAGAAATATGAGTTTTGATTAACAAATGATACCTTTCTTGTGAACTGATCTCTTGCCTCCAAATAGAGTTCGATTACTCTTTGTCCAGATAAAAGTTGCAGTATAACAATGCCGAAACTGTAGATATCACTAGCACTAATCAATTTGGTATTGCTCATATATTCAGGGTCCATATAGCATATGGTTCCCCGAACAACGACTTTAGTCTCATCCATTCCTAGCATCTTCGCTAAACCAAAGTCTGATAGTTTAGGAACGAATTTCGCCGTCAGAAGAATATTAGTCAGCTGCAAATCGACAAGCAAGAAACATTATCAGAATAGCATCATCGTTAGTTCTCAGTACAAACAACCATGCATGTACCGAAATGGATGACAATGAGGATCACCGAACACTCACAATAGGGGGGCCTACTTTTTTTTTTTTTAATCATGCGAGGCCCACACGTATGTGAGAGGTTGTCAACCTCCATTATGATCCATTTATGTACAAATGGAATTGTCCCAGTGCAAATATGTCATATTTATGAAGTATTTTATTAATGAGATAAATGTATGTCTTCCCTTTCCGAATGAAATGGCTCAAAAATATCATAATAATTTCAGGTATTTTGGCGATTTACCTTGATGTCTCTGTGAACAATGCAGCCATCTATATGATTATGGAGATATTTGAGAGCAAATGAGCAGTCCCTTAGGATTTTGACCCTTCTATCCCATGTTAGGACAGTGTCTTTCCCTGAGTATAGATAAATAGGATTAGACATCCTAATCATAGTGTTCCAACGGACTCAAAGTAATCAAACTACAGTGATTGGAGAAGAACTTTGTGTACTTAGAACATTTTGAGCTAGATTTCCGGCTGAACAATATTCGTAGACTAAGTACTGATCGCCATCTTCGATGCAGCAACCAAACAGGCAGACAAGGTTTGGATGCCTGACTCTTGAAAGACCTTCAATTTCCCTGTAGAAAGAATCTGAAGTGTTGCTCTTATTACCCTTATATATTTGCTTAATAGCCACGAGTTGTCCACTTGGTAGCATCCCTCTGTAAACCTGCCCTGCACTGCCTCTTCCAAGGCACTTCTTTTCACCGCCATAATGAAGTGCATTGTTAATCTCAGCTTTGGAGAATCTATAGAGGCCAGACAATGTGGAAGTAATATCTGTTGTCCGAACAGGATTTTTCTTCTGATTTCCTTTCTTCGATACGCATGTTATCAGCATAATGACCAATGTTAGCCCAATGATCACTAAAACAATTGCTAATATTGCTTCTGCCAGTGTATCTAATTCCTTTGTATGGTAATTTTTTTTTTTTTATTATTTAACAGACAGTATAGAAGATGAAATGAATTTGTACTTACAGTTGAGTTTAATGTAATTCGCAGGCTCTGCACAAGCAGATAATGCAAATCATTAGTAATTAGCATACCGTAGCGTATTTTGCATCATAGTTTATCATCAGAACTTCAAATAGTAGCATTTAATCACGTGTTGCATGTAATCAGAAAGCAATAGGACACATATATGGCTATTGAGGAACAAAATCCGTGTACCTGGAACAGCCAAGGCAGGCAAGCACCTGTCGAAATTACTTATTATAGAAGTATTATTCATGTTTTTTGCTATTACTGAGACGATAAGAGCCAAAAGACAGGTAGCTTTGTCAGTTTTGTTTCCTTGAGCCGACATAACATCTCTTGCATTTGATATTGCAGTGGTGCAATTTCTACAGGCATCATCAAATGAAGAAAAATTGAATAGAGAACACCGGTTTATGACATCTTGATGTTCTGTGAGGACGTTCTTCAATTGAAATAGAGAGCACTGACCATTTCCATTTCCATAGAAGAATTTTTCAAAGCCACAAGCTTCAACAGAAACACCAGGCTGAAGCTTAAAGGGCCTGTTACAGTTTTTCCACTGACCTTCCGGGACGAAGATACTTCCCAATACATCATTATGTGCGCGCAGAGCTAATGCGTGTGAAAACACGGTAAGGGCATTTTGGCAGCAACTGGTTTTCGGGAAACTGTTCCAGTCCTTGACCGTTTCTTCAACACTACTGCATCCACCAATTGGCTGGTAAGGATATGCACTGAAATCCAACCTACAAGCTGCATGTTTTTCATCCGATTATGAAAATTCTTGCGTACCATTGATAATCTTAAAGAGAGTGTTGACCTCAAAATTCGCCAATTGTCAAAATATGTTGTACGCAAAGCATGAAAGCATCACACGTCCAAGGTAACTCTGGTTTGCCCCAGCAAAGGAGCCATTGTATATGTTTAGTTTAGCTAAAAATTAGATTTTTAGTAGATTTTGATAAAAATTCAAAAAATATGTGGTTGAAAATAAAAAAAAAATTGTGGGTTCCATGAAATGCATGGTTAAAAATGAGTTCAAGAAAAATGGGAATCAAAAAGGACGTAGTAAAATTCAAACTGTCCGACTGACTTGAGTGTTAAAAGGAAGGTAACTTTTTATACCTGTAGCTACATGTGATGGTGGTAATGGTTGTGAAAAAGCTTGAACATAGAAGAGAGTGATGAAAAACAAAGAGGCTATCTTGAACGTCATGACTACTGCTTTCATTTCTCTCCTTGTAAAAGCAGATTTTAGATGAACAATTGAACAAAATCTTGCTAGAAAAGCTTCATGTCTTGAAAATCAATTTTTTCTAATATTTATAGAACATAATCTTGATTAGAATCCAAGTACTCGGATATTCTTATATTATATGTATTTCTTGCTTAGTTTTGTGCGCAGCATGGTAAATAACGTTCTTTCATCATGCATGAGAGCATCCAAGCTGTCGTTGGCAAGCAGAAAAACAAAAGTAAGCAAACATATACTAATTATCCAAAAATCCTTCGATGTTTCCAAAGATTATCTCATTAGCAATTATTGTAGGGTAAAAATCAAATTGGCTACTGGTCTTTCATCTTTGTTTTACAACCATCCTTCAATTTTTTGTTAAGTAGTTAAAAGTTGTTTTTGGACAATTGAATTTTAAAATTCTTCGGAATAATCACTCTGTTTCAAAGTTGTGTTTTCAGAGGATATTATACTTTCAACGTTATTTCACACCTTCATTTATCTTTAAAAGATTTTGAATGGTAACCGCACTTTTAAAGTTAATTATCAAGGAAATTCTATTCGTATAGGAGAGGTTGACCGAAAAGGTTAACAACCTCTCACAGTGGTGGCACCACCATGATTTAAAAAAAAAATTACCCACCCATCTCATGTGTGAAATGTTGTTAACAAAACCACCCTTCCCCCTGTACAAGTAGCACGGCTCTAATTATCAACAATTACTGAACTTCAAAAAAAATATTTGAATAGTCGTTGTACTTTTAAGTTTTTTTTTTTCCCCAATACATTGATCCATATCATTTGATAAATTAAGATTTTGTTTGTCAAAATTTATTTGTAGACCCAACTGAGAAACCCATTTTCCTAAAAGTGATTTCGCTAACTTCACATAATAAATAACACTCTTTGGTGATATGTTGGAACTTAACAGCATCACGTAAAATTGAACATTGATGCTTTTAATCCGGTGACTATTAGTGCAATCTTAAAAATGTAAGTGACTATTACCATAAAAAGATAACTTTAATAACCATTGACATAAGCACTCAAAACTTCAATGACCATTGACGTAATTAATCCAGAAATCAATTGTTTGCTAAAGTTAATATTCCAATTTATCTAGGAATTATACAATCTAAATTGTGAATTACTTTATGTGGAGTCACTGTATTCCAATTAAGGGTTAATTTCATATTTGGTCATTGAACTTCTAATGAAATTTCAATTAGGCTTCAATTTATTTTAAATTTAATAACTTCGTCAACCTTTATTTCCAAACTTAAACGTCCCAATCCTATGTTAGCCCTGGTTTCAAAATAAATATGTCACATAATCATAATGGTGGATGTTAAATCGTGAAATTAAGGGATGAATAGAGCTCTGACCTCTTAAGTAAAGCTCTATCGATAGGACTATTGTCTTCTAAACACAATTTATTTTTAAAATTTATAACCTCTACATGATTAGGTTGCATATTTAACTTGAAAGCAAGACACGTCAACTTGCTATCAATTTTTAACATTCGCATAGTATTTTGAAATTAAGTTTAGTAACACGAGGCTCATAAAGTGACTAAGACTGAACATAACTTGAAGTTGGGTTATGTGATAGAGACAAAATTAAAATTCGATAGCCCATTTGAGATTTCATTGAAAGTTCATCGTCAACATATGAAATTAGCCCTTGACGTGTTAATTGTTTCAAACTTTCGTTTTTTATGCACAAAACGTATGTGCCAGTATTCTAAAAGTGTGTTTAGACGCAAAGCTTGACTTTGGGTCTAGTCACGATTTATGTTTTGAAAACACTAGTTTTAGATAACAATAAGGGAAATTTACAATTTCAATCCTCAAATTCTTTCAAATGAAGCACGCGTCTCCTATATATCTTTTATTGTTTTTAAACCTTTCAAGTTCTATTTTGAGTGCAAATTAGCGACAGAATATATCAATTTTCACTTGCCTTGCACATTGTATTTTGTCAAAGGTTATTTTCTGTTGATCTATGTCCATTTCCTTCCAAAAGAAGCCAAAAAATGAAATAGAAAAGGGAGAATTTCATTCGCGGTGACTCAATCTTTACTCTAATGTCAATCAAGATAATTGTATTTAAATTTTGATCAATCCAGTAACTACACTTTATTTCAAGCCTTTTAAATCTTTTGGACATGTGTCACCTACTTATTTCTGAGGTTGTTGTCAATTAGTGATTCTTGTTTAATTCTATTTTGAACTTCTAACGATTTCTGCTCATGTGATGCTAGTAGGGGTGTCCAAAAGTCTCAAATCGAGCCAAGTTGAACCGAACCGAATCGAGCGGTTTTTCATAAGAATACCCGAACGGGTACCCGAATCGAGAACCGATAGGTTTGGGCCGGGTCTCGGTTCTAGACCAAGAACCAAAAAACCGAATAAGACCTTAAACTAAATAAATTTTTTTATTTTTTATATTGAATTAATTAAATTAAATTATTATTTTTAAACAAATTAGCAAATTAATTAAATAAATCAGATCATTTCATTATCACCGATATTTTAATATTAACATCTATTTTTGGGTATTTGTATGCATTGAATTAATTTTATTGGATAGCTAGTTATTTATATATTTTTTAATTGAGTGACGTTAATTTATAAAAGTTATGAATGAAATGTCATTAGTTGTATTTATATAGTATTGCTGTAAATGTTAAAATTTTTAATTATGGTATGGAACTGAACCTTACGGAATGGAACCCGAACGGTTCCATAATTATATTTGGACCCGACGGGTCCATTTTGCTGTAAATATTAAAAAATTTAATTATAGTACGGAACCGAACTTGAACGGTTCCATAATTATATTTGGACCCGACGGTTCCATTTATTAAATACCCGAAAGTTTTGGGTCGGTTCGGTTCTGAAGAGAACCGAACCGACCCACGGACAACTCTAGATGCTGGCCCTTTTCCACGAGACATAAAGAATTTTTCGATCGTCCCTCTCTTATATGAAGGGATGTGGGGTCGAATTCTCTTTGCTTCACCAACCATTTGGGAAATTTGTCATGGCGCTTACGGACTGGATTTTTCACCCGATCAACAGTCGGTGAGCTTCTTCACTACAAAGATTACTGGTATACATCACTTCAATACGAAGATGTACACAATCTTTCGCATGCTTAAAACAATTCATATTCGAATACTATGGTAGATAGAGAATCATAGATGGATTGAAGATTACAATGTTAAAAAGTACTGGGCATGATCGCAATTGGCAAGGAAGGGCTCAAAGGTCAACTACTTCTGAATGAGACTGTTCAAAGAAGACAAGAACTTCGTCTCTTCAGTTTAAAAAATGAATTCACCCAAGATTATATGTAGCATCCTAATATCTTAAGTGCCTTGCACAAACATTGAATGGCTATAAAAGCTAGATGAAAAGGAATGGTCCTAGTCTCTTTAGTTGGATTCAATTTCGCTAGTCCTTGCTCTACAGTTAAGTGAAGACTAATTTTATCTAGCAGCACTTGTACTGTACCAATCTAGATTGTGCTATATAATAGACTCAATGAAAAGTGGAATTAAGTAACTCATTTAATAGTACGTCTCATTTAATACAACATTAGTGTCACCTAAATTAGTGTTATAATATGAATGATGCTAAATAGTATTACTTGTAAGTGAAATATGTAAAGTTTTTGCACAATGAGACTCTTTACATACCCGAATAGCTTTTGTTGTTAAATGTCTCAAAATTTCCATTTTGTTGACTTCTGGGATTTCTGATTTCAAAATTCCAAGTTTTCATCCATATTTGCAACTTTTCTTATGAATATATACCTTAACACTCCCATACTTCTAACAACACAACCGATTAATCTACTGTTGAAATTGATTACTGCTAGTACATTCTTTTGTCGAAGATAGAAAACAAACCCGATGACTATATATGAGTACTGTTGAGGCGGGAATGATGGATGGGATGGTTATAGTGGTCCTATAATATACAACAAAACACTACAACAAAGTTTGCTTTTTACAATGTGCATTGCATGCCGTAAAAAGTTATTTATACATGTTAATGTCATATAAAGACATGCCATAAATTCTCACCTCTTTTTACAGTATGCATTGCACGTCGTAAAAAAATGGAAAGCACACCGTAAATACTAACATTTTTATGTCATGCAGACGCATGTCGTAAAAAGATGATATTTCTACGACATACTTTAATTGCGAGCCGTAAATGTCTTTTTTTAAAAAAAAAATTATTTATTTGATTACCAAACCTAAATGATTAAAGAACATACTTAAATACATAAACACATATATAAGCATGTTTTCTTTAAATTCAATAAATAAATATCTAGAGTGCGATCCCATACAATATGCCAAACTATAAACTGCTATTCCAAAATAACTAATTAAAATATTACAAAATAATTGATCCATAAACAAGAAGTTTGCTTCTTTGTTAACAGTTTAGCTATCCAAAACATAATCAACTTCGTGCACATCACAAAAATAAATAATAAAGTTAGATGTAATTTCACTCATTTTGTCAAAAATTCATGCAAAATAGTGCCAAGAAAACATCGTAACAAAAATTAAATTTGAGTTCAAATTGTATACACAACTTCACTTAAATAAAAATGACAAACCTGCTTCTTAACATGAGTTGAACGTCGCTAATAAAATAGACATAATATGAACTAACAAATAATTTCCAAAATTTAATATGACAATGGAGGCAAAAGAAAACATATTATTTCAGCTCCTCATGAGTTGGTTGCTTAGTTCATTTTTGAGCTCTAGGGGAGTTGAAATGCCAACATCATCTATAATCACTAGTAAAAGATCAGTTAAAAAGCTATGAAAATATAATCTTAGATTTCCTTAAACACATCCCTCTCTATAATGATAAAACATGAGAAGTCATCAAATTTGAAATATTATTTATTCAAAGAGAATGAAAAGAAAAACCAAAGAGTTGAACTTACCGGATTTACACAATGCT